TTTCTGTTTGTTTCTTTATCAACCTGTAGTCTGATGATATCATTATCTGAATCTGATTTCTTTGTACAAGAAAAGCAGTTTCCCATGTTTGAAGTAATTTTTTTTCACTCTCGATAATATTTCATGTCTTGAATGAACGAAAAATTATTCKATACTAATTTGATACGTCACAATACGTGTTATTACGTCATTAGTTTGCGCGCTGTCTTACGTACTTGCGCATGCTCTGTTTTGCGCGTGCCCTACAAGTGCCTCGTTCCTTTTGGCCAGCGCGCTGAATAACACTTTGGTCAGTCTATTTTTGTCGTGCTGGTTGAAACTATAGGTAAACTAGTGTGAGTYACGTCGCTGTTTAAACAGYTGTGTAAAAAGATAAATTTAACACYGTAATTTACTGACGTTTCGGACGTTAATCCTTCGTCGGAGTAAAGAGATGGAAGTATCTTAATCTATTCTWTCTTTAGTGTATTCTTCTCACTCTATTTTTCCTTGTATCTTTGGAAAGCCAACGGCGTTTTGTTTTCGTCAGTACAGATACGTGACGGAAGATCTTGGAAGATAAGTCAGCAAAGCATTAAAGCGTTTATGTAATGGACACAAAATCTCGTAAACACCGCCATGGGATGTCTCAATTGYCTAGCCTGGTTCACACGACCAACGCATGCAAACGCAAACGCAAGAAATAAAACTGTTTTTCATATTCTTATACTTGCGTTTATAAATTGAACATTTAGTCTGRTACATTTGAGTTTCTCATTAGAATCATACGTTATARGACCAAACACTACTAACAATGCTTTAGTGGAGTGAGAATTATTATTAATAACGTTAAATTATTGTTATTTTCCCCGTAGAGYGAGGTCAATGGCGTCCAGTTCTATGATACCCAACCTATTAGAACCAAATGCGGTATTATTTACAAATTAGCAAATCTGCTATCAGTACCACCCCAAAGACATTGTGACCTAACTAGAAAATACCTGGGCATTGTAAGTAAACAATTGTTAGGCCAGCGGGCTTAAAGCACGATTTTGTCTTTTTAACTTTATAATCAAGCCCTCTGGAGCTTTTAAATGCAAAATGTTTAATACTCAATGGTACTGCTCATAGTAAAAACAATGGTTTTCTTTTCGGAAAACACAGAAGATTATCAACTATAGATAGAGAATTGGAAAGTACTCAAAGTTTGCGGGAAATATAAGACAAAAGTGTTTCTCTTCGAATGGAACTCAAAGCCCAAAGTTGCAATTTAGTGGCGAAAATCAACAAAATTGTTGCTCTTCAAATGGCACCCAAAGGCACTCCAGGCTTTACTAGTTTACCAGTAGAAACATGAATTTGGTACAGCAAAAATAAATTCGACAAGTTACCCTTATAAAAGACACTTTTCTTTCATTAATACCTCTTTTTTTCTTCTTCTTCACTCTTTTTTAATCTAAAGATATTTATTTTTCAGACACTCTGTAGGATGTGCTTTTTTCAAAGCAATTGTCCTTCAGGTTGGACAAAATTGGTAAGAAACCGTTGAACTTTACACAGTATTTATCCTTTTAGTTGTGCCACAATGTAATTTTATTGGGTGTTATTATTATTTTCAGAGGACACAAGGCTGCTATTTCTGGGTCGTTTTCAGAGGTTGTCAAGCAGTGTGTCAGAAAWCCGTTGTGGTAAGATTTCTGTGTTACTCAAATTGCGTGACCATAGTTGCGTGACTGGAATGTTATAGTGGCTGCGTTGCGTGACCATAGTTGTGTGACTGAAATTTCCTAGTGTCTGCATTGCGTGACCTTGATTTTGTGACTCGTAATTCCATAGTGTCTGCGTTGCGTGAACATAATTGTGTGATTGAAATTTCTTAGTGTGTGCGTTGTGTGACCATAGCTGTGTGACTGAAAATTCATAGTGTCTGAGTTATGTGACTAAACTTTTGTGACAGTAATGTCATAGTGTCTGCGTTGCGTTACCATTTGTTTGCGTTGTGTGAGTCAAATCGACATTTCTTACTATTGTTTTCAGATAAAGAAGTGTTGCAGTGGGTTCTGGGGSCAGGACTGCCAAGGTTTGCGCTTTTTGTAGTGTACTATCATCTCTTCATTTCATTCATTCATTCATTTTTCATTATTCAATTCATTTATTCATCAATTTATCATTCCTTTATAGCTTGTCCAGGAAATGTTACCAGTGCGTGTTCTGGTAATGGTAAATGTAATGAYGGTAAAACTGGATCAGGTCACTGTGAATGTAGCTCCAACTTTACCGGGACATCGTGCGAGAAGTGTCTACCAAACAGATWTGGAAAACAGTGCACRTCCAGTAAGTAMATGTTCAAGATATGGCGATTTATGAAAACGATAAGTRTCGAAATGAATAGTTGGTTGAATTTCCGACGCTATAAAAGAGGACATTTCGCCGTTTCAGAGTGTGATTGTGTCAAGGGAAGATGCAACGAAGGACCTACAGGAAATGGAGCTTGTAAGTGCTTTCATGGATGGCATGGCCCTCGATGTAGTGACCGTAAGTACACACATAGTCAAGTAATTTCAGGATTTTTTATGTGTTGTTTATAGAACGAGAGTGCGTGTTTYATCGGGATATAYAGRTTCGAGGTGCAGACGACAATATCTATATACCCGATAAAACACGCACTCGAGTTCTTTAAACGACTTCTAGAACTCCAACACCCAGAAATTGTTATCATTTTAGAAAAAAAAACTAAAAATTGCGAAAACAGTGATAATGCAATTAAACTTCTAATGAGCATGTGCATTGTGCCACACATGAAGGAATTTTGATCCCACACGGACGAACGGCTAGTCTATACTAAACTACATGCTCGGCACATTGATTCAAACCAATTTAAAACCTAGCAAAGGTCTATGTGTGATGTTTAAAAAACGAGTAGGGGTGTTTTATCGTTAGTTATAGGTTCTGTCATGTGACCCATAGTTGAATGCTCATTGGAAGAATGTCAATGAATAATTCATGAAGTTTAGAATGCGACATTAAAGAACTGAGATCTTTACTAGTGATGGGTTGCAATAAAGCGCTGATGAACTTGAATATCAGTTCTTTATATCTGATATAGAACTGATTAGTAAAACATCAGTTCTATATAGTTGATATAGAGCTGATTAATAAAACATTTATTTTAGGTGAATGTGTTCCTTAAATTCCAAAATGCGTTTGGCGCTGCCTCGGCAAAAATCAACGTTAGAATAGTACTGTTATTGTGTGTGTTACATATTTTATATACAAAGAATTGCGGACAGTAAATCTCAGTAAACTCGGCTATTAAAACGATATTTCCATCATACCTACAGGGTTCATAGTACTCCATTTCTTTTTCACTTTGGAAATATTAATCTATAAGCTATAATAAATCGGAATTATTCTGACTGGGATTTTTTTTTCTTTGTGTGTATTCATAATGAGTCATTTTGGCTGGCAAACTTCATGTAATTCAAATATTTTCTTTTAAAGTGCATATGAAACGAWTTTTTTTGTTTCTAAAATAAAATCACTATGAAGAAAATAGTTCTGCAAAGTGACACTGAATGCAGGCTTCAAATTTCAGAGAAAAATGGATTTTATGCTAATTGGATGGCGTCAAGTTGTTGACTCATTGATTATACAAATTTTGTCCGATTGTTTATTTTCATCTTATTGTTTTGTAGAAGATATTTGTTATGTAATCAAAAACATCCTTTCACAGTTTGCGAGGGTAAACTTAAGAACACTCGTAACAAAACACAGTTGAAATTTTAAAGWGCAAACAAGAATTAGCATAATGGATTTTTTAGTTTTGAATTTGAAGACCCGCATCAAGTGGTAATAGGCCGTTTGCATTATGACGTAACGTTACTACAACTACCAGAGAGCCTTGCGCATTTTCATTGTTATTCAGATTTTAAATTCCCTTGGAATTTGCATTATGGCGTAACTTTACTACAACTACCAGAGAGCCTTGCGCATTTTCATTGTTATTCAGATTTTGAATCCCCTTAGAGATTAATAAAACGATTGGCCCTAATTGCAATACAAAAGAAAGTTGGCAAAGCATTCTGGTAGTTGTAGTAAATGACGCCATAATGCATATCGCCTATTAGCCAAGCTGTTATTCTTGTTCTATGACTCTATTTTTCAAATAAAACAAATCGCTTCATGAGCACTTAAATGAATAACAACATTATTATATTTGAAGTGATTCAAAAAGTCAACTTGAAATGTTGTAGGTRCCGACACTATGAAATGTCGTCCCACAGTTTGTCACGCTAATGCTACGTAAGTATATTCAATTGCGGTGACAAAGTCATCAAACCCGTGAAACAAAATTYATTCGAGCTCAGTTCAAAAATCTGAAAGTTCACAAGTGCAAGTTAATGTTTAATGCCGACTTTTYACGCCGTAAACTTTGCATCCTCAATGATAAGCGAATACATACCTACATGAAACTRGTTTGTAAGCATAAAGAAATGTTACRGAAAAACTAGGGCAGTCCAGTGTTCAAAATCTTTTTTTCTAYTGTTGATGCGATTGMGAGAGCTTGGATTGCGTTTCTAGATTGTGCTACAGTAGCTTTGASGATCAAAGCTACCTTTAAGAACGTTTTGATGGTAGCTCCCAAACGCGTTGCCAGCCGGCTTGTATCTTGCGACGTAGTAAGTACATTTCAGGCCATWGTGTTCGRCATCAGCTTTTCCAAAACCAAGCTCTTTGCTATCCTTCCAAACAAGCTGTGTAAAACGKYCAGTACCGCGGCCATATCCCTCCGTATTAAATGTATATCCTGGATCGCATAACTCGTTATACCTCGAGACAAGAAATGATACAAGCTATAAGTAAATGCTACGTTGACAAAGAATGAGACAGAGCTGATTCAAAGTATTGGGCGTGTCATCTCCTACAGGCCCTGTCACACGAGCATAGCTCGTGACATAGCTCGAGCAACTTGCAAAAATAAAATTCGCGACACAAGTTGCAAGAAAAAATCGCGCGTGTGACAGGGCCTGTTTCGTTTAAAGGCTGATTTACATGGTACGATTTGTCGCGCGCGATTTGTAGTATACGATTTTCCTACTACAAGTCGTAGGATTTTAAGCAGTGGTTCAAAACCCTACTACAAGTCGTAGGTTRYGTACGACTGTTGTAGACAAGTCGTAGGGGCATTTACACTGCGCGATTCAAGTCGTATACTACAAGGACYACAAGTCGCGCGCGACAAATCGTACCGTGTAAATCAGCCTTAATGCATATAACTTTAAAAAACATTGTCTTTATTGCGCGCACAAAACAGTTTCATTTCAGTTTGAATGCGTTTTTGTTTTTGTTTTTGAATTAATTACCAGAACGTGACTGCCTCTTCCGGTGTCCGTYTTGAAGAACAACTATAGAACAGGTTTTCTCCTATACCATCGCSGTATATTGCCGAGTGCTGAACTRTTCCTAGTTTTGCAATTTTAGCTGCATAATCAGCAGCGGACTTTGACATTTCTGCGTTTAGTGTCAATGGAGGTGCTTCATGAATCTTTCGAAACTTGTTATGTACAGCTAAACTCTCTTGTTCGACGTCAGTAACTAAAATTAAAAGAAATCGCTATTCAATCATGAGCTAAGAAAATCGTTCATAAAGCTTTCGGCAAATAAACAACAACAAAAAAACCTTGGTTATCTGAAGATGGTGTTGTTGATCCTTGTGGGGCTGGAGTGGCAGGTTTTCCGCACGGTTTTATTTTTAGCTTCAAATCTATATCGATACCTTCATCTCCAATTTCATATATCCCTCCACCTGTAACATATTGTGATTAAATGTCAATACGTACTATGCAAGTCGAGGTATTTTTCTTTTCTTTCCCTTTTTTTCTTTCTTTTTTTAATTCATATATTTTTATATTTGCTGAAGAAGGCCGAAGTGCCGAAACGTTCAATAAAAAGTAGAAAACCTAGTTACAAGTTGCGTGGCTTTTTCTTCATTTATTCTATTTATATATATATATATATATGAGGGGTTGCAACTTAAAAAGGGTCTTAAAGACTAAGACCCCTTTGATGACACAACAGGTTTATATGCAGCCCAAAGCAAAAAATTTATGAATAAGACCCCTTTTCAGCTGAAACCTCTCATATACATAAATTGAAGAAATTGAAGAAAAAGGCACACAACTTGCAACTAGTATTTCTACTCTTTATTAGAACGTTTCGGCACTTCGGCCTTCTTCAGCAAATACATATATATATTATTTACACACAGCTTTCATTGGAAAGTGCTTTTTTACTCCTATTTCTTTTTAGTCGGCAAGCTTGTTTTCTATTGGGTAAATATATTTATTATAAATGTTCATGGTGTAACTGATGTTCGTATAGATTCGCCAGCATTAGTAGTACGTACTGACTCCATGGACATGGAACTGAGAAATATAGAGAATGTTTTCACCTCAAAAATCCTGAATGAAAAATGCAGTATTAATTTCATGCTATAAACGAAATTCTTTTAATTCTAGAACATGATGTGAAAGCGATCATGGCTTTAACTAAAGGGTTTATGAGGACTCCAACTGAAATACTGTTGTTATATGAATAAGTTTTAACTATAAACTGTTGAAAAAAAGGGTCTATAAATTGATATTAATTTTAAAAAAATTCCATTTGAAACTCTCCACTCCTATTGGCCTAATTAATAATTAAGTATGTATGAGGTTTTGAAGAAAAATTAAAGCATTTTAAAAATAGATGCCACGTTTAAACTAAGAATACACGTTTATAAGCTACCAATATACGTACCCATCACAGGCCCATCTTCAATTTTGAAGGTTCCGCTCTTGGCACATTGATCTTGTAGCCTTTCACTGACCGTTGCTCTTTTATGACCGGAATAGAAAATGTTCCGTAGTTTACTTTGTTCTCTTCCATTTATCTGGCTGGTTCCACATAAAGTGACAGCTACATTAAAAAAAAACTTGATTCAAATCAAACTGAAAAAACTGATGTATCGAAGGTATCTCTAAACTCTAGTACGTAAAGTTTAAAGGCAATATAGGTCAGTGGTAATATAAGCATCTTGTTGTAAACCGTGACATAGCAGCATAACCAATAAAGAGATGCCAATTCCTGTATACTGTTGTTATGAATGTAATTTACTTCATATTGTAGGACGTCAAAATAATTTCAACTCTTACCCCTCCTTTGACACACAGAAAACACAATGTTTGAGGAAAACTAGTTTCGTCTATTCGACCTTAAACATTGTGTTTTCTGTGTGTCAAAGGAGGTGTAAAAGTTGAAATTATTTTGACGTCCTACAATATGAAGTATAGAAACTCCTTTAAGGTCCGAGTCCGACAAATTTCAAGAATGTAATTAAGTTTGAAAATAATTTATATTCGGTCGAGAGTAGAATATAACTGTTGTTCCATCGTTCAACAGATTCATCATAATTGGACATGATTTTGCACATTAGTCACCCATAGTCACGGTTAGACATGCTGAGTGATGTTAGTTTCTAAACTCAACAGCTTTTTGAATATCCAGGTGTGGTGGACTATATAACGGTTTAGGGTACAAGCATATATCATATGATATCGCTACAGCAGAAAGACGTCTATTAATCTTCAAGGTTACAATTTTCACTGTACTATGTTCAGAAATCAAGTAAATTACAAAACATGATACTGTGTTGTTTGGTGGCATCAAATTTCCACTAGGCCTCTAAAAATGTAGTAATACTCTTTCAGTAGCAATAAAAAAAAGTCATGGTTCACTTCTTAATGAAGTTAAATCTCTGGGAATGGGAAAAAAAAACTTGCACCAACACAAAATTCCTGTTAAAATCAAAGCATGAATGTTTACCTGCTAGAACTATGAAGAAAGCTCTTGACATGTTGACAGTTGTTCTGATACTAGTCCAACTGATGATAACATACCACTAAGTCAAAATCAAGGGTTTGAGAAATGCGGGTAGTTGGGTTGGTGCAGCCCTAAATTTCCAGTTCATTAGAGGCGAACAAGGGCGATACAGGTTGAGGTCACTTCCTATGCCACAAGGAAAAATAATTGAAATGTCTAACACTTTACAGATTACACTTGTACAAAGACACCTGAACAGTTAGTGTTATTCTACCTGTCATTTGCTTGGTTTCACATATTTCTCAGATTCCTCGAGGTGTGAATACACATGTATCGATATCGCATTCGCGCAGCGTTACCTTCAAAAGCATGTAAAATATTTTTTTATCATCTCAAAGACCTATTGTAATTCAATACTCGTGTGTGTAAAAAAACAATAAAGGTTTGTGTGAAATTGAGACGAAGGTTGAGTAAAAGAGTTTTCCAAACTAGACCGTTTTGTTGTTGTTAGTGTTGTTGTTGTTGTTGTTGATGGGTTTTTTTACTCGGGGTTCCAAAGCAATCCCGAGTTTAGGTTTCGGCCTTTTTTCCATTGTCGTCGTCGCTTATAAGTCACAAATTGACCACAGGTAGCCCAAGCTGGGCACTTGTCGGCGAGAATAACGCCTGATGGAAGAACTAACATGAATTCAACGTCTACAAATACGCTCAAATCACTTACAAATCCACGCATTCGTGGTGTAGACCGACTAAAATATTCCGAGCGTTTTTCGAAAGGGCATTTGGAGAGATTTATTTTGAAACTTATCGTGAAATTTATTATCGTACTGCCATATCATATCGTGATTTGTAGTCCATCAAACAATCTATCTTATCAAAAGCGAACTCTATACTAACATATGCAGGCTTTGAAACTGCAAAGGACTCATCTAAGGAATGCGAACAGAATTCTATAAAGGAAAAACCGACGATTGGAAATATGTCATAAAGCGGAGAAGACTCTATGTTGACAGCTTGCCATGTGACTATCAAAATGAGAACGACTTGCCAAAGATGATATACTCTGAGAACATAGTGAGAAAAGTAGCTCTGTTCGCAGAGTAAAGATGATCTATTCTTTCATAATAATAATGCTGAGTACATTGCTTTTTTTATTTTTCACTCAATTTTTTTCTTTAGCCTTTTGATAGTATTAATATTAAGGATTTTGCATTAGAGTTCAATACCAACACGATTTCTAGGACTAACAACAGTAGGGACCAGTAGGATGCTTAAAGTTGTTTATCATCATATCCGTCACAGTATTTCAGATCTTCTAAAGTTCCTGCAAAACTTATGGCTTTTCCTTGACTGACTCGAACTCAAAATCTGAAAAAAGCTTGAAAAGCCCTTAAAAATCTATCTTTAAGTCAAAAAATTCAATGAACAAAATTCTCATAAACAAACTCTTTCTTTGTATAACCTTTTTGAGTTCAATCAATATAATGAATATGTTTATAATATTTGTTCGCATGTCAACAAAAGTTGCGTACCTCTACTAAGGCTATCCTTGAATTAGTAGTACTAGATAGTCATTCTCTCCTTTTTGCCATTGGAGCTCCGCTATTTGGTATTACCTAATTTTTGTATTATCGGTTTCACGGTTTTTATGACTCAATCAAATTGATTTTCCTATTGTAAATTATTTCACAGCTCTTGAATAATCTAATACTTTGTTCTTTGCCTTTTTGAATAAAACCTTCAAAACATCCCTCAAATAATTTCATCTTTCTTCTCTCTCTCTGATGTTTATTGCTTTTAGCTTTAAACGAGCCTTTTCCGCAGACGATCCTGGTTAACTCAACACCGGAGGCGTCTGTGGAGGAGCCTATATTAAGACGTTTGATTGTTTTTTTTTATGTAACCATCAGATGCCGTAACATATCAAGGTCATTTAAATGTGACTGCGATGTTGGATTCACAGGGAATGGCGCTTTTTGCCGAGGTTTGTATTCACCCTGAAGCAAAACTACAGTTTCAAAATCTTATTTGTGCAGCCTTTACTCGAAACCATGTGTTATACTCTTTTATTCAGCAGAGAATTTATTGTAATGCAAACACTCTGTGTACAAAGAAGGCAATAAAAATTTATGTTTGGTTGAATCTAAGCTTGCACAAAGAGAATTCGAAACTATAATATATACTATACTTGTATCGTTATGACCGCTGTAATTATGATAATTATATACGACCGTTAATATCGGGGGACTAGTGACGAATCATGGAAACGAGATCTCAAAGGCCTTCCATCTAGAAATCACTACGAAGATCGCATGTCCTGTCCAAAAGTTTGAAAGATGTACTGGCATGTTATTTATAACAAAATTTTCTTGAAAGACACCATCGAAGTGTACTATACGGAGGCTGGCCTTTGAGACCTCGTTTAAGTGCTTCGTCCCCAGTGTCCTAGTCGGCGACTGTGATATATTGCGCCATTTTTGAAAGTCGTGAATTTATGTGTTTTTTTATGTTTTGTTTCACGGTGAAGCGATTCATGTTTGCGACTCAGACAATGGTGGTTGTCACAAGCATGCAATGTGTACGCCTAACCCGACCGACCCCTTCCTGGCTTCTTGTTCCTGTAAGAAAGGATACGAAGGAGATGGACAGTTCTGTTCAGGTAAGTTGATCCTTTTCGTAATTGTTGATCGTTTCTGAAGATCATTTTCCTTCTTTTCCTCTTTTTTATTGTATTTTCTTGTCCTCCTGCACCATCGTCTCTTCTCTCCGCGTTTTTCTTAATTTCCTTTGTTGTTATTCGCCTTTTTTAATCGTTTCTGCTTTTTCGTTTTCTCCCTTTACTGTATTTTCTTGACCTTCTCCATCGCCGTCTCTTCTCTCCGCCTTTTTCTTTCCTTATTTGCCTATTTGTTGTTTTTCTCTTCCTTTCACATCTTCTACTTTTGGGTATCTACCTTTCTTTCCTTTTTCTTTCCTATTTTTGTTTTACATGTGATTGATGATTGACGATTGTCTCTTTCCACTCAATCGTATGATTCCCATTTCAGCCATTGACCTCTGTCAAGCAAACAATGGTGGTTGCCATGAGAATGCTACCTGTGCGAACATTGGTCCAGGGAAGGTAAAGTTTTTTGTGAATATCAATGTAGAACATTTCACTTTATTTATTGATCTGACTGACGTCTCGTAGACATACGCACTCTCACTTGTAACGATTAAAAACGATTAAACTCGTGGATAACTTGCTTTGTTGATTGAACGATGATTGATTTTGTTTTGCAGAGAAATTGCTTCTGTAATGATGGTTACCATGGTGATGGTATAACTTGCATTCCCGACAATCCTTGCACAGTGGTCAGTTTTTCTAGTTAAGATGTTTTTTTTGTTTGCTCTGGAAGCGTATAAATAGAGAAAAAAATATTACTGGATTCAATGAGCACGATTCACTTTGAGTATTTAAAACAATGAGAGATGATCAAAATTTCTCAAAGTCTTATATCAGGTGTCTGGTTTTCTTCTTCTTTTTCTTCTCGTTCATCAATATTATTACTTGTTATTACCATATGATGAATTTGAGTGATACCAATTCTTGTTTTCCAGGACAATGGTGGATGTAGTTTGCGCGCGACTTGTGAAAGAACTGGACCAGGTCAGCGGAAATGCACTTGTGGCGCAAAGTATTATGGGGATGGAGTGACGTGTATTGGTAGTAGTATGGAGGTAAAATGTCATGTCACCAATCAAATCGCTTTTCTAATAGATTTAAAATGATTTGTGTTAAATAAGATTAGATTATTCTAATTGCTCTGTTTCTGTTATCTAATCTGCATCATTTTGCGCTTTTTAGCACTGTCTTAGTACTTTTCACGCTTTTTCACGTAATTTTAGTGCTCCGCAATGTCTCTGTTGTTCTTTAGTGTTCTTGTACACTATAAATTATCTCTTTATACATGAATTCTAGCATTAATTTTTATAGAATCGTGCAACCAACTTTAATTTTTAGGTACTAAAATCCGACCCTGAGCTGACTCAAATGAATGATTTAATCAAGGTAAAATTGTATAACCTTTGATATTGATTCTAGAACTTGACCAGACATTGCATTGCATTCCAAGACCGAGACAAATTGTTGCAATTTTAATTTCAAAAACTTAAGTAAGCTGCGTTACAAAATGATAATTTTTAAACTTGATTGCTTTCCATTGAAGTTCTTAACTGTACGGAGATGGTATAGTCACTCTGAAACCTCGAAAACTTCAGTAGCGATAAAACAATCAACAATGCATTTCGGTCTTGGAATACACTATCAAAGTTTACTGACGTCAACATTTTCTGAAATAACTGTATAAAGTGAGGTATTGCTAGAAATTTTTACAGCTTGTGTTTAATTAACCACCAGAAATACGGTATTGATAAGCTGCTCAAGTCAAACTACATGGCTAACGTTTTAGCGCCAACTAACCGAGCCTTAAAAAAGATATTGAGCGACAGAAGACGTAAGGTAAAAAACCTAAACTGTTGATGAGCATATCCTTAAATGCATTACAAATGAGAATCACTTTAATTTCCTTGACAGCAGATAATGTTGTATTATTAAGATCCAAGAGCTACATGAGATAACTAGCGATCGTTCATATCTTTCTGCTGTTCTGTGGCACACAAAAAAGCCCATGGCCAATCGGTATTCCTTTCGAGCTTTTGTTTATGTTTAGAAATAAAAATATATATATCGTAATATATGCAAAAACTTACTCTCTGTTATCCCTTCGTGTTACGTGAATTTTGTTAAGATTCGAAACGAAACGGTTTGCGAATGAATACTTGAAGCCATCTTATTTTCCATATAAGAAAAATTCAAAACACGACCGCATTGAATGCTGGAGAACAAAGGACCTTTAAAATGCCTCTTGAAAACGTAATGTTTGTCAAAACTCCGTTATCAACTTACAGACAGACGTATTGGGTTTTTCTCATATGTTGCAATCATAAAAACTGTCTGCCAACTATAAACTTTAGCAGACACATTTTTTCGCCTTGACTAACTCAGGGCGATCCGGCTATGTTCGAGCAGCGCTGTATCTATTGAGATGTTTTAACCATTTTACTTTGTCCGCGAAGGAAGTGTATGCTATTTTAAATTGTGACTGTATTTTATAACAGAGACGTAGCGGCGTCTTAACTCCTACTGTAGAGCAGTACCTTCGCTACCATATCATTGGATGCGTACGTTTTAATAAGAATTCTTTTAAAACTGGAGAAAACTTTACCTCTTTGCTTGGAGCACCAATCTGGATGACTTTAGTCAGTCAAGGAAACGTAAGTTAGAGAAACGTTATCTATTTTTTATCTTCCATTTTTCCTTTTCGACTACTTTTCATTTTTTCTACTGTACTTTTTAAGAAGTTGTTTGCTTCCTTCCTTCTTTGTTGTTTGTTTGCTTGGTTGCCAGAGTCCGGCTTTCTTGCTTTTCTCCGTTGGTTCCGTACTTTCTGTTTTGCTTCCTTGCTACAGATTGCTATCCCTCATTAGTATAAACATACTAATGGTCTATCACTCATACTGCGCTGTGATTGGCTACTCTACTAATGGTCTAATTTGTGATAGACCACTCGCGGGAAAATCAAAATAAATAAATTATAAATTATTTTAAGGATATTTCAATTCGTTTTCATTATTTGACCGATTAGTATGTTTATACTAAAATAATTAGACCTCTCGGCCTCGTGGACTACGAGCTAATAGCCCATTCGGCCTCGCGGACTCGGCCTCATGGGCTATTAGCTCGTAGTCCACTCGACCTCGAGGTCTAATTGTTAATTAATCCAGGCTCTATTCTCTTCATAGAAATCCCGAGCTATTTTCAAGGATTACAAAGGCAATAGTGCAAATATTACACAGGCTCTAGAATCGGGTAATGGTTTCGTTTTCAAACTAGATTCACTGCTTACACCTCCTGCAGCGCACCTTGAAGTTGGCGACCCATCAGTAAGTAACCTTTAGTACTGAGATGAAATTTTACTCTGCTCTGCTTTGCCTGGCTTTGCTTTCTGTTTTGTAGATATTTAACTTACTGGAAATAATTATTTAATATGCAGAAATCTGTAATTAAAGTTGCAAACGAACTTGGACACACCACGTCAGTTAGCCTACTCAAGGTTAGTATTCAATTTACATTAGAATTTTAGCTTAGCCTTTTGAAACAAGTACAAGATTAAGTGCGAGTTTTCATGTCCGAAAGGTTTTTGCTACTTTTCCTGAAATACAGACAACTTGATAGAGAAGGAAGCGATGAAAAATCATGAAAAAAGCGGCGGAGGAAAGAGTGTTAACCTCTTACTCTGCTTCTCCGACGCTGCCACCCCCGCTTGCTTAACGAGCGGAAAAGGGCATTTATTAATATCACATTTGTTTTCCATATTTTCTGTTTTTGATGGTATAAGATTCAACCGTCTTTTGATTCAATTCTTCCGTTTGTTTACAGAGAGTCGGCCTTGAGAACATTGTATCAAGTCCATACGGAAGACCATATTTGGTATTTCTCCCAACCAATCACGGCATCGATAAACTTCCTGATGACTTTAAGGCGAGGTTACTTGACCCGGCCAATGCTGGTGAACTCACTGAGTATATCAAGTATCACGTGGTTCAGAATGTTCCGGTAGGCATTGCTTTATTTTTGAAATCGTCACTTGAGTTGATCATGATAATAATGATTGCTTATGATTAATTGATCGGTTGATGGATTGATTGACTGATTAATGTGTTGATTGAGTGATGGATTGATGGATGGATTGATTGATTAACTGACTGATTGATGTGTTTATTGTTTGATTGATTGATTGACTGATTAATGTGTTGATTGAGTGAAGTGTCATTGATTCACTGATTGATTGATTGATTGATTGATTGATAGATTAATAAATTGATTGATTGATTGATCTATCGATCAATAACCACCTGGATTATATTCCTTCTTCAGGAGAACTTGACGACAGATTACTTTGTACGTAGTGGGGGAGGGGTGCAGTTTACAACATTACAAGGTCAATCCATATTCATATCATGCAAAGGAGATAAGGTAAGGCAGTAAAACTATGAAATTATTACCTCAAATATGAATGGTGTATCGGATAAAGTTATTATTAACTCGTGTGTGTTTTGTTTGTTGTCAGGGTGATTTGTATGTCAACGGTATCAGCAGGATCTCCAAAAGAGACATTCACTTCAAAGGCGGTGTTGCATTTGTCGTTGATGACATCATTACTCCTCTAGGACTTGGCGGCAAATGTGACGAAGTCGTGCATGAAAAGATCACGGTGAGCGAAAATTAGTCATGTCTTATTGTATATCACACTGTAAGCTTCTCTCTAATTGGCTGGTCACATTTAACCAATCACATTTTAGGACAGGGTAAGTAGTAAAGGCCGCACCAACAAATCATACTTATTTTGAGGAGGGCATAAAAAGAGGAGAAAATAATTATATTCAGTATTTTTTGAGGAGGTAGTTAATTTATTCACACTAATGACGTAACCTATTGTTCTCCCAAACAAAAGAGAGAGTTATAAAACAGCACTTACAATGTAAGCTTTTCTATCATTTACATTTAAACGGTTGAATATTTATGCTGCAATGAATAGAATTCAGATTGACATAGTATAGAGTCAGCAGTTGGGCCCCGATTTTCATTGGAAATGGCAATGGAAAAATGGAAAAAATGGTAGAATACTAATGAGACGTTGGTAGAATACTAATGAGGTGCCCCGCATTGGTAATTTATTCGAATTGAGGTCTTTTGTACACTTAATCCCCGAACAATAGTCCTTTTGTTCTCTATTGTTTCGTCTAAGAGGTTATTTATTGAGTGAATCTGACCTGTTAGTCACTCTGCGCTCTGACTTGCAAGTAATATTGAGAATTTGTTACAAAACGCTGATT